TTTGCTAGAGTGCTTTTGCTGGGATTGCTTCGGACACCTGAGTGCTTTGCAAGTGCCCCCGAGCCCCGCAGCTCGGTCCTTCAAGGGCGGGTTTGGGCTGGGGGGTGGGTTGGGAATCCTTGGGCGGACCTTGGCGGGAGTCTCAGAGCGCGTGAGCCGTAGGAGTGCAGGTTTGCGGTAGGCTGCGGTAGGAGTCCGGCAGGAGTTGTGTAGGAGCGGTAGGAGCCTGGTAGGAGCGTCGATGCGGTAGGAGTCCGGTAGGAGTTGGCCAGCTGCTGCACCCCCCCGCCGCTACTTCAGTTCCATGGTCCATCACAGTGATCGCCCTCATCGTACTCGAAGGTCTGCAGAACTTAGAGCAGATTTGACGTGAAATTTGTCAAATTGACTTTTCTGCTTTTGGGAGGGAGGGGCAGCTTGAGAGATTTGACGGATTTGACGGGTTTGATGGGTTTTTGACAGCCCCTGCCCTGCAGCTGCTCAGGTCTGCGGATCTTCCCAATCCTCTTCATCCCGCCGCAGCCTTTGATTGTACGTGCAGGAGTGACAAATCGCTGGGAGCTGCGTTTGGGGTATCTTCGGGGTTTCCTCAGCGTAGGCAGTCTGTGCAAGCCAGAAGCAACCAGTCGCCTTTTGCGTTGTGAGTTTCAGCGGGGTCACAGCATTTCCTCCAAATGTATTGCATTCGCACATCGAACTCAGTCTCTTAACAGTTTGAGATGCTTGAAATCCGGTAGCATGATGCAACATTGCTTTCGCACTTCCCTTGATATCGCTTGCCATGGATCAGCGTCCTTCGAATCTTCCAGCATGTCCTATGCCTTGCGGGCCACAGCCACAGTGGCAAGAGCAGCCTTGTCCTTGGGCATTCCCACCACAGACTCAAGTGCAGTATGGTATGCTTTACGGGTGGCCAGAGCCAGCGCAGCCTTGTCCTCCGGCATTCCCACCACAGACTCACATGCAGTATGGTATGCCTTACGGGTGGCCAGAGCCAGCGCAGCCTTGTCCTCCGGCATTCCCACCACAGACTCACATGCAGTATGGTATGCCTTACCGGTGGCCAGAGCCAGCGCAGTCTTGTCCTTCGGCATTCCCGCTACAGCCTGAGATGGAGTATGGTATGCCCGGTGTGCCTGGTATGCATTGCCTTCCGACGCGCCAGCGAGAATGCCACCGAAATTTTTGTTTAGTTGATAGAGAGGGAAACCACAAAGCCTTTTCAAGCGTCAGTGAGATAAGTGGTGCGAACTATGAGCATATGATGTACGAGGTTTTACAGCAGGTCCTCCCCAGCAGTTCTCGTCGGAAGCTCATGGCGGGGAGCATTCAAGACCGTGAAGAAGAGGACCGATTGACGATCTGCAAGCAAAAAGTTGCACATTTGCTGCAGCTCATTGTATCTGACACTGCTGCAGTTAGCATGCAAAGGAGAGGTCATGGGCAGTCTGAAGCCGAAGTTGACTTAGTCTTTCAGGGTTCCTTCGAGGAGTTTGACAACAAATTCGGCCAACTAGGCGAAGTCAATTTCAAAGGCAGCTGCGAAATGGTTCGGACGGTGCTTGTGGAGATCTGCTCTGACAGCCGCTTCGTGCCCATGAAGCTCTACCAGATTGAGATCCAAAGCTGCCTCATTGCACGGGCCGGAAAGCTGGATGGCACAGCTCTCCAACCAGACGCGACCGGCTTTGCTATTGTTTTTAATCGCGCAGCCATACACATCGGGACGCATGAGCTGGTGAATGAACTTGGTCTTGTCAACGTCCAGAGCTTGCTCGATAATCAGAAGCTGCACATCGTGTACTTCCAAGCAGAGGCTGTGACGCCAGCAGCGATGAAAATAGCAAGCGACGCAAAAGCAGAGGCAAGCGACGCAAAAGCAGAGGCAAGCGACGCAAAAGCAGAGGCAAGCGACGCAAAAGCAGAGGCAAAAGAAGCAAAAGAGAAGGTGGACATGTTGGAGAAACAACTTGCGAGCCTCCTCCCTCTGCTAGACAAGCGAGCCCAACCCTTGGCTCCGTGATCGGCCATTCAGCTTCCCCTAGCGCTGATCATTGTCTCACTGCGCACCACAGCGGCCAGCGGCCGCACGCAACTGCATGTTTCTATGTTGAGCCTGCTTGCCCAGCACGGCCGCGGAGGCATCAGAAAAGTCCGCATGTTCCGCAACATCGCTTGTAGCCCCTCTGATCTCACAGTTTCCCACTCCACGCTTGCTTAGGTTCTCATCATCCTCTTTCGCACTCAACGGGCCTGGATCCTACAGTGAAGCCGATCCCATCGTCTGGTATCAAGGGAGTGCGCAAGAGTTTTGCCTGCTGCTGTGTGTTTATGCGTGTGTTGTGTTTGACGCCCACCGCCCCACCAGCGCCCCAGCCTACATCCGCCGCCCTGTTGCAGCACAGCGCCCCGCCTCCCCGAGCGCCCGCCCACCAGCGCCCCACCAGCCACGCCAGCCCCCGCTGCCAAATGCCACGTCTCTGAAGGTCTGGCCGCATTTTGGCATCTGACAGCGAAGCCAAAGGTCCGTCAAATGGGCGCAGTCCAGCCCGGCAAAAGGCCCGTGAAGTCCATTGATGGCAGAGCGGGCAAGTGGCGGCCCTGCCTGGAATAGAGGCGGATGAAATTTCGCCGGTCCCGGCCGGGAGGAGGCCGGCCCATCAAATCCATCAAATGCATCAAATGAGTGACGGCTCTGCTTGGAACAGAGGCGGATGAACTTTGGTCCCGGCCGGGGGAGGCCCATCAAATGCATCAAATGGCAGTTTCGGGCAAGTGACGGCTCTGCTTGGAATAGAGGCGGATGGGGGAAGCCCATCAAATCCATCAAATCCGCCCCCCTTTTCGACGGGAAATCAGCCCGAATCATCATCATTTGATGGATTTGATGGGGGTCCTCCCGCCTCCGATGCTGTGGATGCCGATGCTCTGGATGCCGATGCTACCCCGCGACAGGGATCACAAGCATCAAATCCGCCCCATTTTCGATGGTTTCCCGGCCCGAATTGTCATTTGATGGGTTTGATGGTCCGATGCTCTGGATGCCGATGCTCTGGATGCCGATGCTACCCCGCGACAGGGATCAAAAGCATCAAGCGCATCAAATCTGACAGGGGACGGGGGCTCGCGCGGAGCTGCGCCCTGCCCCCCAGCTCCGGGTGGGGTTCTGGGCTTGGCACCTCGCCATGACGAGCAGTGTGGGGTTCTCGGCTTTGCCCCTCGCCATTTCAGGTGCCTAAACCCTAAACCGGAGCCAGGGAACCCCTGTCGACTGAAAAAACAGCCCGAATCGTCATCAGTTGATGGATTTGATGGATTTGATGGGGGTCCTCCCGATGCTACCCCGCGACAGGGATCAAAAGCATCATATCCGCCCCATTTTCGATGGTTTCCGGGCCCGAATTGTCAGTTGGAGCGGTCAGTGCGGCCTTCTCATCGAAGTGACTGACCTCATGCCCAGAGACGAGGAGCCGCAGCGGTGCCCCTTCTGAGCCAAATCTCCAGCCCCGGGACCCCGGACAAGACCATCAATTCCATCAATTCCATCAATCGCTCCTCGGGCTCCGAAACACATCTCGCAGAGCCCAGAAATGCGCTTGAGATCGATTCGCGCACGTCCGGTTGGAGGCCAAGGGCCTGAGACAGCGCCAGAAACGAGCATTTGGGCGCCAAACCGCGACGATTGATGCGACTTGATATTGTGTCGCCCGCGTCATCAATGGAGGTTTTCTAGAGCTTTGGGGCCCTTCCCGACGCACACCAAATGCGCGGAAACCCGTCTGTAGCCCCAGACCGGGCTCCGGAACCTCCATTTTGACCC